ACATTTGGAGGGATTAAGAGATAGGCCAGAAAACCGTTGAACGTTATCCAAGTTGTCGGAAAATTGTGAAAGACCCGAAGAGTGGGAGATGGCCTGACACAAAACCACATCGTCAGCGTATTTGAAGAGAGAATTAGGGGTGCCAACAGACAAGTCACTAATATACGCAAAAAATAAATATGGGGAAAGAGCTGCACCTTGAAGTACCCCAGAATTATTCAACAATGGTTTGGATTTCTACCGACCTAACCTGGTACATTGAGTTCTCCCGGAGAAATAATCGTCAAGCCAAGCTAATAACTGTCTAGGACAATCAAAGGTCTCCATTTTACGAATAAGAAGGGAACGAGGAATGGAATCAGAAGCAGATGAGTAGTCCAGAAACACAACGAACAGATTTCACAGAGTCATTCAAGGATTTGTTAATTTTATGTCAAAAAGTGGAAACTTCATCTAGTGTGCATCTGTTTCGTTTATATGCTTACTGAAGAAGCTCATGCGGGACATCGATGGAGGACTCAATGCGCGTAAGAACAACACATTCTGCTAGTTTAAGTCCAACGGAGTTTAAAGCGATAGGAAGAAAGCGTTTGAAGTAGAACATTTGGGAATGAGAACAATGGTTACTGGTTTCCAACTGTCGGGTATGGAGCAGGTTTTTCAAAAATGATGTGAATATTTTGCTGAGAGAATAAGCTTCATACCTCGGAAGGGAAGATGAAAGACCATTGAGACGAACACTGCATGTGGTTTTCGCGGTGTGCAAGAGCTCAAAAGTTTCTTCTTTCGAGACGGCCTTTAATTGGACGGCGTTGTACAGAACAAATGGCGTGATGGCATCGCTTGATGGGTGGATAAATCCGGCATTAACACTGTCTAAATCCGTTGTACAATCCGACTTTTTGGATTTGGTCCCACACAGCATTTTGATACCTTGCCAAATTCGCTTACTATTGTTACATTGCAGACGCTAGGAGGCGTAATAAAAAAGAACTGGTGGCTTTGTTTAAGAGCTCTGATTGTTCTCCTGCTTCAGTGGCTGGACATCTTAGCACTGCCCGTTCATCAAACTCCAATGCGTACACAAACTGAAAATAATTCCATACTGCATCGGTCGTCGCACAGAATCATCAGGATCGCGCTACGCATTGCATCGAGCGGGGTGGATAGTAATAAGTGGGCCGCTGCTCAGATATCCCAACATTTGCTTAACTCTTTGTCTTCCTTATCCAATCCTCTCCATCTACCCCTTCTCCCAACCTATAACATTTCCTCAGAAAACTTGTTCGTCGTTCGCCAAAGTTCGTCGCCCAGTAGTGCAGTTAGTAGTTTACCACAAAATAGATTGCAGAGTCTGAGGCTTCTTCAATCACTTCAATCAACGTGAGAACTCTGATGCAGGTGGGTCAACAAGCTTGTCTAGCGTGTGCAATGAACTCTTGGGGAATTGATATATCCTACATATCGGAGACACGAATCCAGGATTCTAGTACTCTAAGCCACTTAACTGCGCCGGATCTGTCCTAGCGGTACTTTCTCCGTACATCAGGTGACAACGAAGCTCGTTCAGTAGGCCAGCATGGTTTAGGCATTGTATTCAATAATCCAGCATTACTAATAGATTGGATCCCCGTCAACAGTCGCTTATGCGAGTCGCGGCTTCAAGGGTCTTTCAGGGTCCGAAAGGGAGACAACATTAATATATGTTGGTTCATTTGTTCTACGCATGCATCGACCAACTGCAGTCCCGACACAAAATACGAGTTCAGTGACAAACTCACGGAACTCATTCGCTTGAACCAAAGCGCTGATATACTTGTGCTTGCAGGTGATTTTAACGTGCAAATAGGAAAACCGAGCTTATCGGAAGCTGGCCTAAACGGTTGCTGTGTTCTGGCCTGCAGACGAACAAATAACGGCGATCGACTTCAATTCTACGCAGAACACTATCTGTCCCTATACATACCAACTTTCGACACAGCTCTAAATGGACAGCAACGTCGTGTTTCTATTCAACTAGTACGCTAACTCAAATCGACCACATAGTAGTGAGCTACTCTTGGCGAGGCTCTGCATGAAACTGTAGGCCCTATCGGACCAACTGCGTTAGTTTTACTGCAGTTCACTCTCCGACTCACTGGTGGCAGAAAACCCCCGCAAACTCGGTTGGAAGATCATTGGCTTATCTGGCCCAGTGGTTAATTTCCGCTTTGAGTCAAAACTAGGGCAAGAGCTAAACGCGCTGGAGCATGGTAGTGTATGTAAATAATGGGATCAGATTAGATACACAATGCACCCCGCAGAGAAGCTTGCTTGTGGATCTGAGCTTCAAGCTCGTCCGGGGCATCGGATATCTGATGGATCAGTAGTACTCATAAAGAAAAAGCGGCACATCCCTACCGCCTGAACTCAAAGAAGGGATAGTTGGTGTCTGCAACATCAGTTCATAAAGAGCCTCAAGAACGACCGTAAAAAATGGTGGACTACAATAGCTAGTGAAATGGAAGTAGCAGCTGCATCAAGGAGTAGTCAAAGACCGTTGCCACTGATACACATTACGGGAGGTCGGCGAACCACAGTTAGGGAAACAATCTGCGACAGAAATGGACAACGGCTTGGCCGTTGGGCGGAGTAATTCAAAGAACGGTTCAACTGGTCAGGCGCTAACTGGACTATCTCATCTGTTGTAGTTGCGGTTCCACGGGCAGTATCATGTGAACCTCCTACTGAAGCAAAAGTAGGACTTTACATCCGAGCTCTGAAGAAAGGAAAAGCAGCAGGATCTGACGGGCTTCCACTACTGATTCACTACATAACATCTGGTCGCAAGAGTGCAGTCCATCATCCTGGATCGAATCATTGATCCCTCCGATTTTTAAGAAGGGATCTCGCAACGACTGCGAAAACCACCGTAGAGTAAGTTTGATCCCAATTGTCTCCAAGGTTTTAGCCTCCGTCAGGTTTTGACGTCTGACACCCTTCAGGTAGACAAATATCCGCGAACAACAGCCAGGACTTCAACCAGGTTACGGTTGTATCAACCAAATCTTTACGCTTTGTCAAGTCCTCGAGCTACGCCATTCACACCGTCGCCCAATCACTGTCGTGTTCCTTGTCCTAAAAAGAGCCTTTGACTCGGCCGCGAATCCCTTATGGGTTCGCTCCTTCACAAAGGAATGCCGCAGAAGTATGTGAACATACTGAGTTGACTCTAGTCGCATACTTATTGTAGCGTAAGGGTGTACGGCGAGCTGAGTAGGTCTTTCGTAACTGGCATCGGTGTTCGCTATTCCTGTTCAATTTCGTTGTAGATGAAATACGGGAAAACCCACTAAATGGTCTCCAAAATGTTGGCCGTGAGTGGTCAACTAGTAAACTGTGCACCTAGAGCACACTGACGACATCCTTTACTTGTTCGAATCTATGGAGGATGAACATTAGGAAAACAGGACAAAGATAGACTGTCGGTGTTTGAACATCGCTGTCTACGCAGCATTGCACGAATCTGGTGAAGCAGCCGGACGAGCAATGCTGAGGTCAGGCGCAAAGTTTTAGGCAACCGCGGTCGGCCACTGGAACAAGTGGTCGACCTCCATAAATTACGTTGGTTGGGGCATGTGTTACGCATGTCACCAAATAGGTTGCCACGGTGAGCGATGTTTGCTGAGGTAGGTAGTGGAGGAAATAAAGCCCAAGGTGGTTAAGCTAAGACCTGGTATGAGGGTATGAAAACCCTAACTAGGAGTCTGGGTCACATAGGTACCGTTAGACTCCCTGAATGGGGACCTTAGGATGGTCGCACCCGATGGTTAGAGACACTGAGTGATATGGCTGGATGTCGTAAACAGTGGCGTTCGTGCATCTTCTCAATTTCTCTGTATCATTAGTTCACTGAACTTTTGAATTTTATCTTCGATCCTACTTTCAACCTTTTCTGTCTTTCTCCTAATGTTCATCCAAAAGATAGCAACCAAAACCGGTGCACGATAGTGCATGGTTAATGGAATTGAAACTGCACCTCGCGAAATGCTACTATAAGACAAAGCGTCTCACATGGCTTCTGCCGAGGAAGTCCTACTCACCGCCTTCTCGTAGAATTGTACCCCCCCCCAAAAAAAAAACACTGGGAGGACGAAAAGTCAACATCCGGGGCTGTAACTGGGTCGGCGAACTACCGAAACGTCACCTAGGGGAGTTGGATAAAAATTGTGACTTTGAATTAACCAATAAGAGACGTAGAAAACCCGTACTATTCTGGTTTTAGCAGTGGTCACCGGCTCATTTGGGCATGGTGGTGTATTGGGCACCTTGTACATTTGGCCCTTCCCAAAAGATGTATGATTCAATGATTTAAGACACTGGTCCCCAAAGGATTGCGGTTTTACACTGTTTTGATGCTTTGCGAGTCAGACGGGTTTGCCGAAGGTTCCGGGTGTGAATCCCGCCGGAAAATTCAGCTGCCTTTGCTTGACAACATGACAGTATTCCGCCCACATGAAAACCATTGAACTTTTCTCTTTTTATAAAGATAATTGTACCGTGGTTAGTTTGGCCCACAGTCTGGCCTCAGACGCAGAATCGACGCATGGAAAAATGTACTGTGCGAAGTTGGTTTCTCTCACCTTCTAGGTTTGGGTCCGAAAAATTCTGCAACTGGTTGGTTGGAGACACTGATGGATATGGAATCGAACCGGCAGCAGTGCCGTTCTTCTTGTAATTTCCTCTGAAATCAGAATGCTTGAAACAGTGTTTGTGCACAGTTGGATTGTGTACTCTATGTTGGCTGAAGAGGTTCACTTTCTTCCCCCTACCTCAAAATAAATCCAATGTCTGTTCATCGTACATATTACCATTAACTTTTTATGCTTTGCGAGTTCGGCAGCGATCAGTAAAGTTGGTTTCACTGTATTTCGCTCTGCCGTGTTGATGATGATGATGATGACCGTTCGAGTGACCATCAGCACTGAATGGCTCAACTTCTAGCGATAAATTCTGTGGAGATGAACCCTTCGAGTTTGGTTAACGGACTGAATTCGATTTCTTTTCTTGTATTCATCACCAGGTCGCTAGATTCTCTCAACAAAATGGACGCTCCAGTTCTAATGCGAGTCTTGGCCTCCTCTGTGCATTTGGCTGCGCGTGCTAGCACTATAGTACGTACCGTGCTTGCTTCAAAGGATCTTGAAATAGTAGATAAGGGTGTGAATGATCTGCAGTCCAGAGCGGATCGGGATGCACAAAGGTGTATTGTCGGATCGCTTACCAAAACGTTTCCAGGCCTGAAAGTGATAGGTGAGTATCGTGTCTAGCATTGTGATCTCCCTAACGCCACCAAACACTTAGGTGAAGAAGGCGTGTTAGAAAACAATGGATTGGCCGCGGCTGCTGAACTGGATGCGGATGTGCTCAAACACCAATGCCCTACAGCTTACAAGTCCACCACTTTGTCGGACATGGTTGTGTGGGTTGATCCCCTAGATGGAACGATGGAGTTTACTGAGGTAAGTTGAACCAGTTGTAGGCTGATATTTTTATCCTTTGGGATGTTTACATGATCATTGCGCGGTGTCAGTGCACCCGTTTCGAGTCGCATTTCTAACGTTCAGACATCTTTTTCCCAAGAATAACACAACTGTGAAATACTAACCCCCTTTCAGTCTTCCCTCGAACTTACAGCATACAAATCTTTAAACGCAGAATCAACAAGCTGATTCTAACTTGAATTTTCCCCTTGTCTTCCCATGTGCAGTATGTCCTTGGATTATGGGGTTTACCCCTTTTACTGTATTCACTTCTATGTGATAAAATCGCTCCATTTCTACGCACATTATCGTGTGAGAGCACAGAAAAGAGCGAGTCCAATCACCTGCTTCAGCTGTATACCCTTATGTGAACCGCCAACTCCAGGCCTGGAACACCATGGCAAGATCCTTACCAACCGCCTATACTTTTTATTGTATATGAAGTGAATCACAGCAAGACACGTAAACAACGCAGCTAACACATACTGTGAAGGGTTGCATGTAGGAACCGATTTGTGGATCCTAATTTTGGAAAGATTCTAGATATCACAGGTCGGAGTTCAGACTGTATGCCAAACAAATCGCAGCACAATAGTCTTCAGGGAAAGAAACATTTTCATGAATTACAAGTAGATGTGATACTGCTAGGTTAAACGGACCGAAGGAGGTGAATTTTCTTGAGTGATTCCAAAACGAAACTTTTGACTAACCGAAGTCTGACCCACAAGGTAGCAGGTTGGTGTGTAAAAACCGCAATCCTTTGGGGGCCAGTGTTTTAGATCATTGGATCATACATCTTTTGGGAAGGGCCAAATGTCCAAGGTGCCCAATAGAATCGGTGACGACTGCCACAGCCAATATGACATGAATATGTTTAGTACGCCTCTGGGTTGGTTCGGAATCAGTTTTCATCCAGCTCTCTTAGGAAAACTTCCAGTGGTTCGCCGAACCAGTTGGATGTTAGCTTTTCGTCCTCTCAGGTTTTTGGGAAACCTCCACGAGAAAACGGTGTGTAGGGCTTCCTCGAAAAACTATGTGAGACGCTTTGTCTTATAATAGCATTTTGCGAGGTGTAAGGGGTGACCAGCCATAACCTGACGCACCCATCCCTGAACATAAAGAGGCTTTCCCACACAACACTCGACCGACTGTCTGCCCCGCGTGAATGGTAAACGCATGAGAACCACTCCAGTCTTAGACCCGGTCGAGGTTGTATGCGCCACATTTTCACTTCACCAAATTCTACAACACAAATGCTTTTCGTAGTCCTATAATTTCTATCCTCTTTCATTTGAAGGCCGTCTTCAACTCAGTCGTACGCTCGTAGCTCTGGCGCGACCTCTCCTCGAAAGGTGTGTCTGAGAAGTTTACTTAAATAGAACTCCCTTGATACTAATCATCAAAGCTGATGGTTAGAAACAGTGATATGGTTGATCGTCGTATACAGCAGCGCTCATGCACCTACTCAATCCCCTTGCAACCTTAGTCTTTATGAATTCTCTATTTTCACCCCGATACTGATCCGAGCATTCCAGACTTCCCTTTCCTCTTTCATCTAAATTATCAGCCAAGGGCCAATAATTAAAACCGACGCTCGAAAGTGCATGGCTAATGGATTTAAAAATTTCCTTTCTTCTTGCGAAGGTTTTTATCCGTGCTCACCTTGCTTTTCTCGCTAATGCCCTTGGCATATCATTAACTGCCGTGAACTTTCCGTTTTTTTCAGGTGGAATTTTTCCTGAGATGCACTGATAACCGTTCGATTGTAACTGAAACTTTAAACAATCTTCCGTGAAATACCAAGTGATTTTGCTACAAAGCTCTGAGTCCTAAACCACCGCACGGAAGTGAATGGTAGTTAACAGTGAAAGTGAAACCCGTCTGGTTGATTCAGCATATGCAACACATTCCTCTTTTTAATAGATGGTCGCTTGCACACTCCACTTCAAATGATATGGAGTGTGATTGCTGACACGGATGTGCGTTCCTTGCAAACGTTATTTATCGCTTCACATTTGGCTGGACATCACTGGCTGAATGCGGCGTTGCATGTTGTCTGATTAATGACCAAACATCGACCGACGATCAAGTGAGAAATTATCTGGAAGTGCAACATACTGAGGAGGTGATATCGCGCATAGGTCGTTGCATATTTATGCTTGTTTTCGGTTTGCAAAAATTGGAATCGTGTTGGAAACTACTTCTCATTGGTGTGATTTATCAAGAGATTAACTGAAGTTAAACGTGCAAGTAAATTACTTTTGAAAATGGTCGATGCAGATTTCTTTACTGATCGGCTTTCGCTTTTATACCATAGTCGTCCATCTTACTTTCCAAATTTAGCTGATAGTAAATCTCCTTTGGCTTATCCTCAACCCCTTTTTAGGGTCTTGTCCAATATGTAACCATTCTGATTGGTGTAGCTGTCAGCGGAAAACCGGTGGCCGGAGTAATTGCTCAGCCGTTCTATTCTCCGAATCACACGAAACCTGGCGAATCATCTGTGGAAACCAGTATCACACGTATTATCTGGGGCATGGATGGCCTCGGTGTGTTCGGGCTTGATGCAAAGAAACCGGCAGGTCCGTTACCTTATCCGTTGGATCCTTCAGCTCCGAAGGGAACCAATCCCCATGTGATTGTGACCACGAGGTCGCATGCGACCAGCAAACTGGTTTCAGCCATGGATGCATGTGCTCCTACTGAGGTGGGTCAAACAGTCCGACTTTTATATATGTATATGTTTATATGTTTATATATGTTTAACTGGAACATTCACTCAATCACAGTTTATCTCCGGAAAAAAATGCTTTATCTTCTCAAGTACAGCTTAAAGGGGACAAATATAAAGAAAACTAATGGTGAGCGATTGGTGGTAATATTGTCAATCTTAACACTAAGTAGCGCAAGAGTCACAAATAAGTTCTGCTTATATATATATATGACAAACTGGACACAGCCCTTCAATGGATTGCGGTTTTCATACATCATCCCGCTGCCTTGCTAGTCAGGCGTTAGTGAGCCGAAGGCCCTGGTTGTGAATCGCCCCCCCCCCCGAAAAAAAATCACCTGCTTTTACCTGTTCAACCTGGCAGTTTTCGGCTTACATGCCAATCCTAAAACGTTTTTTCTTTTCTTACAGTATATTGTACTATGATTCGTCTGTTAAAGAAATATATATGATAAGTAGTATGTGAATGGCTGGACAAAATTTCCCTGGTTTCGCGGTTATTGCTGCTCGTCAGGCATGCGTATCCGGTAATCTTTTGTCAGTTCATTCATATACCAACCTACCCACTAATCCACTTACAAAACATCGAACCATAGCATTAATTCTTCATTGGACTGGCTCTGAAAGAGCTGTCTAGCCAATGATCACCCGGCGTTGCAAACAAGGTTATTATATATAAACACCTCGAGGTCAAGCATGGTGCGAACGTAACAGGATTGATAAATTGTAGTAAAGGGTACAGATTGATAGAAGAAAAATTGAGAAATCATAGAACGAGGAGAACCAACGAATGAGTGAACAATCTTTGTTAGTTTCACCGTTCGAATTTTGAGGTGTCTTTTATCTATAAAGGAGAACAAGAGTTTGAAAAACACCATACAACAATCGTGCCAGTGCCTTCTATTCTGAGCCATATCTCTGCATCTCTAACCATCTGCAACACCCATCCCTTGGGCCCCAACCTGGGAAGCGTCTGTTGATAGAGACCATGGGACGTGGGCCGGAATAGCTGTGTGAAAAGCTGACGTTGGTGGCCAGCTAAACTGCCTTGGAAAGCTCCGCCCAGCGTTCAAGTCGTCGCTGATGATTGTGAATGGGTGAGCCATCAGCTTCGCAGATCGCTTCACTCACCCAAGGCTTTCCTACTGGTGACCCGGATGAGATGAAACAGCTTACGGGAGTTTCCCATGGCGGAAGCACGTTCCATCTCTGATGCGCGTTGAGACCACCAGATTTCGCGATCTCTGTAGNTGCGTCAAGAAGGCACAGAGACTCAGTTGAAATCCAGGATGTCACGACACGGCGTGTCAGACCACAACTAACTAAGCCAGCAGAATGCAGAGCATTCGTGATAAGCGACCAGTGCTGGTTAACGTCACCAGGTGGGGTTGGTTCTAGCTTTTCAGCTAGCGCGTCTTGAAAGACGACCAAGCATGCTGGTTGAGGCAACTTATCGCAGTATAATCGCCGCTGTGTCGTACGATTGGGACACCCACCGAAGCACATGGACAGCTTGGCGCAAACTAATGCGTGGTCGGATTTGAGGATAGTGCTCCAGTACGATCGGCAGTGTTGTATGCAGCCTCGCCATTTGTGGCTTATAGCAATGTGGTCGATCTGCGTTTGTTGCTGATTCGAGCAGGGTGGATGCCAACTGGCGTATCGGCAGTTGGAGCGTCTGAAGTTCGTACTGGCAAGGAATAGGCGGTGGTCAGAACATAGAGCCAACAGCCGTTCCCCGTTTTCCGAGCTACAGGAATCTAGACCAAAAGGACCACCCAGATGCGCTTTATTTGATTCAGCCGAGCTATTCTAGCATTCATATTTCCTGCTAAAATCACGATATCAGCCCGATTCACCTCACGCAAGAGGCAGTGTAGTTTCCGGCAGAAAGTATATTTGACTGTATCTGAACTACAGTTCGTAGATGCGTACGTTGAAACGACGAACAAGTTGCGTCTTTCGGAGCGACGACTATTTACTTTGCACGAGCCTCTAAGTCTCACTGCGTACAACCTACTGTCGAATGGGGTTCAATCCAGGAGTGCGGCTTCAGCCCTCTCACTGAGAGCCACACCAGCGCCAGCAGAACCGGAAGCCGCAGCCTCAGGGTCCCCAGAGAGGTGTAAGTGAAACTGCACTGATGGATCTGACGGGGACGTCAACCGGATGGCGGAGCTAGAGCCTTGAATTCGAGTTTCTTGGATACAACACACATCGATGGCTAGGGTCTTGATGGTACAATCTAAACACGCCTGTTGTCCTATACGCATCAAGGTACTCACGTTAAATGTGGCTAGTTGGAATGGGTATCGAGGACGAAGAAGAGGTTCAACTGGTGGAGAAGGATTCGATGAGACTCGGACGCTATTCGAAGTAGGACGCGAGAGAATAGGGACGAAATTTCCATCTGAGGCACAACTGTTAGTACGATTGTCTTTGTAATAGTGAGAATGTTTGTGTGTGTGTGGGGTGGGTGGGTGAATGTGAGGTTGAGGAAAAACTGGGCAAAAGAAAGATGTGCACGGTGTAAAGCGTTTTTTGTGAGCGAGGAAAACTGAAAGAGCGATTTATTGCTTAAGCTGAAGTTCATTTTGTTTGCATTGTAATCTGTTGTACTACTCGGTCGCCTAGTCCAGAGTGGGCCTTGTTCGAGGATGCACTCTAGCCTTTACGCAACCAAGCGCGAGCTACAAGGCAGCAGTATTGTTCTAAATAAGCTGGTGACCGGTCGGTTGGTTCATTCGCCTCCTCTGGAAGACCTTGTCGAGTAGATGGAATTCGACAATGGGGCAATGGCCGTATTCAGTGGCTGGCCACACTCACCACGTCACAGCGCTGTCAGAGGATGTGTGGTGTTTCGTGCGGAGTACTCTTGCCAGGAGGTAAACCCACCACATCCTCGAGTGCAGCCGCTGATCGTCCGCGGCCGCTTATTCAGAGGGCAGAAGCCCATCTTATTCACGGTTAGCCGTGAGTTAACGACCGTTCCCCTATCTGCGACCTGGGGACGCGCTCGGTAGCATACAACTCTGCCCTCCCGAGTCTTCTGCTTGTACCGTTCAAATTTCCATCGTTTGATAACAATCACCTCTGCAGCCCCGGCGTTTGCTGGGCAAAAGGCGTGCAACCTGGACCACCACATTTAATTGCGTTTTTCACGGGAAACTGGGTTGCTCCAGTTAGCAGAGGAAAGATGTAAAAAGTGAACAGAAGTTATTGGTGACTCTTACTTTTATTTTGCCTCTTTTAATACGATCAGACCACCAGCGGTACAAGAGATCTTTTTTCCATTTTTATTTATTCCTCTCGGTTGTACCTGCTGAAATATGCAAAATTTTTACGAGAATAAATGGTTCCAGACTGTGCTGATGTGTTTTAAGTTCAAGTTTATATAGGGAAGCGAGTGCTTCAATGTTGTCAAAAGGTGTATCTTTCTCATATTGTTTGATTTTTATCTTACACAACTGAACCCTATGGTTACGTAAATACGCTATCAAAGTTCTGAACTGAGGGACCGGATCCACTCGCAATAGAAAAAAGGAAGTTTTCTCTCTGTCACAAGTTCTGCGGCATCATCATGCTTTCAAGAGACCATTTCTTATTAAACTTCGACGTAGCCTTTGGTTTCATTGAGTGAACCGCACTGTAAAACTACTTGTTGAGAANAAGTGCATTAAGTGATAAGTATCATGTGGATCTGTAAGCGGTGGAATCGTTGTACTTCAGGTCGATTTAGAGCCTACGTTCAGGTTTCGCCAACCTTAACTCCGGTGGCCCTATATCCCTAGTAATCTTCAAATTAACCACATTGGTTGGTATGTAAAATGTTTTGTCCGGTCTTGAACACAATCGCGTTAAACCACTTAGAACGAACAGTGTTCGCCATAAAATATTTGATTACATCAGCTTGCTAAGTGATAATACACAGGCAGTCCAACATTTGAACTGCTTAGGGGTCGAGGTAATAATATATGGTATATACTTTGCTCCATACCGATCCAAAATACTCATATAAAACTGACAGAAGCCTGTGCATTCGCCCACACTTAGTGGTGGTCAGCTAGAGATGGTAGAAAGCTTTAGCTGCCTCCGGAGGTTGGTAGTAGTTGGTGCTGGAGAGGAGGTCACATCACAGTGTGATTCTTATGTTCAGATACTAATTACACCCGGTGGTAGGCGGCTCGCTACCACGCCTGATCTATTGAAGCCTTATGTGGTCCGCCACTCCAAGTTTCAGGATCATGGTTGCCGGTTTCCTCACCACATATACATGAATATACAAATTCACGAACACTCACGTACTCTCACTCGCTCTGTGCACTCAGACTGCAAACACGCACTCATCACCCTCACCAACATTCGCGGACTGAACCGCAATATTGATTCTGTACACCACTTTCTCCATTCTCCTTTTTTTGACCGAAACACAAATCTCCCCCCCACCTTCAATTCCCCAACTGCACTCTCCATTCCTCCCTTCTACCAAAGCTGGTGTCTACGTCTTTATTCACTAGTCAGTCACCGCCTGTAATTCACATCATGTAATAAAAAAACCCTATCTTTCAACCTAACCAGTGACCTTTGCGGTCGGGATGTGTAGCCAATTCCTATGCCTTTTCTTGGAAGATTTGAAATTAACACTCAGTTCCCCTGACTGAGCGAGTGGCCCGTGGCCCACCAAATGAAATATAGCAGTAATTATCAACTTTTTCTCCTCAGTTTGATGAAAGCTCCTCAACCTCAAGGTAGTAAGTAGAACTCCTTTAAGAAAACATACTTAAGTCGCAAATGAGACTGTTCACTTGGTACCTAGCTAAACACAGAAGTCTTTTAAAGGCTGGAAAGCGCTGGTTTTTAAAGTCCCGGTGTTTTCAGGAATAAGAAAAGTGCATTAGCGGTTATCACTGTAGGTCGTATTTTTGGCCATGTAAATTGACACGCGCCAGATATTGATGCATTTAATTATCGAGTTGTATACCCACAGATTCACAATTTATTGTTGTATTCTGTTTTATACACACAGATACTTCGTGTTGGTGGCTGTGGCTACAAAGTGCTTATGCTTTTGGAAGGATTGGGACACTTGTACCTATTTCCAAGCATTGGCGCAAAACGCTGGGACACATGCGCTCCGGAGGCGGTACTTTCGGCCGCCGGGGGTGCTTTGACCGACTTGCGAGGCCATCATTACGACTACCGAGTTGTGGAGGACCCAATGGATCGTGGTGGTATCATGGCCACGCCGGTTGCTGACTGGATCCGTGTGTACACACCGCTGATGCCTAAAGATGTATTAGACACCTTAACCTTTAAGTAAACTATATTTGATTATCTCTGTGATCCCTGAAATTTCTCGTCTATCTAGTACATATGCATCGATTGCACGTCCCGCCCCATGCCCCCGAGATGTCTCCATTTGCCCCTCTATCCGCTATGATTGCGTCTGCTACTGCGTGCATCGACCTGATTTGTTGCTGTGCTTGCAGATGCACTTGTTTTCAACTACCCGATTCACAAATTATGTCTTTCTCTATTCGGCTGACTCTTTGAGAGTCATTCTTCTGTTATATCGCTATGTCCTCTCCAGTTTCTTTCGCACGTGAATAAAAAACCGCCTTTTCCCTTAACCAATTGCTTCTCGCATTGAAGTACAATACCATTCAGATTGTATTCTATCAG